GAAAGGAAGGAGCGGACCCAGACATATTTAGGAAACTGCAGCCTTCCATACAGCACTGATTATTGGGGTTAACATTGATAATAGGCCTATGTAGATCAGTTATCCCCAGCCCGTTCAATGCTCAACACTTGATATTTCTGAGGATGGAAAGAATCCCCCAAGCATGCCACACTGCACATGAGAAGAGCCCTCTCATCCTAAACAGCTGACTTTCACTAACGTCAAAGTACGCTGTAATAATGAGACAAGGCAGAACCAAAAAGCCTGCTGAAGCAATTAACTCTATAGCATTAGCCCTAAGACATGATAGCTAATCTGATCCTTTTGTCTAGCAAAGAGAAAGAATCTAATAAAATGATTAATCAGTCTTCCTCACTTCCTTCTCCTGAATTACAGGAAAATTTATATTGCTGTTGCAGCAATAACTTAAAACAGAGGTAACTCATTGACTAAGTCTTTACCCATACTACAGTAATTACTAGTGTACAAGAAATACCACAGCTTTCTACACATTCCCCAGACAAAATGCACAATTTGCATGACAGATCCAAATCTGCAGGATGTACAAACAAACAGGTCCCAAATGGTACGTGATTTCCACTCACAGTTCTCCATTCAGCGAGTAAAGCCTGCAATAGCCCAAACTTGAAAGCTGAGATATCGTAGCCTTGTGGCATAAGCATACTATCTCCAATAATCAGACTGCCTTGCAACAGCTGAAAAAAAATACTTGCTTCTTCCACGAATGAACCCACCCATGACTAGAAACCATCTAAAACCATTCCATATTCAAGGCACAGCAAATATATAGTGAAAGAGGCAAGGCTCAGAGATCACTTCCTTGAGTATCAAGATCTGAATCGGCAAGTCTTTAAACTAATATACTCATAACTAATTAGCATCTGACTCATTATCACTCCTCCCTTCGGCCTATTGCAGTATAGTCACAATTTATTTATATCGCAACTTATACTGCAAGTTGCTACAGAAGTCCTCCAAATAAGGAGTGTGGGTTAGAAAGAAGTCTGTACCAGAGAACAAGGAAAAATAGTGCTTTATACGCCACAATAACATTGCTCAGGTTATAGGTAGAAGCCTTCAGAAATCTCTAGCTTGCCTTCTCCCTTGTGAAGGACACGCATCATTTAGGGAGAGGAAGTACACGTTACAGTTCTGTAGAATTTTCCATAGTATCAAGTTTTTGTTTTAAAGTCTCCTGCTTCATCAATAAAAAAGTGCTGCAGAGGTTGACCCACAGCTCCTAGAGGCAATGCACTCCACCTGCAGGCTTGGGCTAAGGTGTCCTTCAATATCTTTGCTGCTAAAAACAAAAACAAGCAAAGCTGCATCATACTACTTTCACATCTCATTTTAAAAGTTTTCAGTTGTGTACAAACTCAGAAAAGAACTCACAATGACACATTAGGCTATGTCTGCCCTGAACTTCTTCCACAAATGAACACCCAGTCACGGCTAGAAACCATGTTCCCTATTCCAGTCAGCAAACATGCACATCAAATACGCAAGTGAAAGAAACCGAGCTTGAAGACCATTTCACTGAACAGCAGTACCACAGAATAGATACTACATGGGCCTACAAAGGAAGAGATTCAAACATCAAAATGAATTAACTAATTCCTAGAAAATTAGGAATTAAAAATTCGAAGAGCTAGAAAACTCATCAGGCAGCCTGTGTCAAACAAACCCTTGAAGGACCTACATAGATCAGTGATTCAGCAGAAGCTTTCCAGAAGAGTAGAACAGAGACTGGACTGAAGACACAAAGGGTACTTCAGGTCAATCTCTTAACATAAGATTGTCTGATGAAAGTGTTCTTTGAAAAGATTTCACTGTATGTCTGCAGACAAGAGAGGTGACAGATGTTAAATTTTAAATTGTATGACATTTTGCAGCACACCACAGTGATATATCTGGTAAGACAACCATTTAGAAGCTCCTGGGAGGCAGCAATTAGGCTGCAGTTCTATGTAATAATCACTGTCAGTCACTTACTGGTCTCTCACAGCACATTCTTCTCAATAACAGCATGTAAGCAATTCCCACAGTTTTTCACAGAGCGAGAGCAACCAAGCTGAAATCCATCAAAGATGAATTCACTCTGCTTCTGCAGAGCGAGGTCCTTCACACAAAGCAGTGGTGCAGAGGTGGCTGCAATGCAAGAAGAAATCAGCAGAGCAGCTCATAACACACTATTCAAAAGACTCCTGAGAAGCAGTAAGCTAAAACAACTAGAGTGTTTTAAAAAGAATTTGCCTATTCATAAACTCAGTCTTCTTTTTATTACAGAGAGTAAAGCATGCTGCACACAGAATGAAAATGAGGAGGATGAAAGAACATTCCAAGGGAAAAAAAAAATGCCTGGTAGAAACCCCCAATCAGCCAGTGAATAGCTGCAGCTTCTGAAACCCATGAACACAGCAAAATGTCCTAGTCAATTCTCAACAAATCCCCAGATGGTAGCACTAATAGAAAATGTGGTCCCTCAAACAAAAGATAGAGGAGACATTAGGATGGTGACTGACTGGACAAGCATGCAGAGCAGACAGCTTCCTTCACCGAGTAGGATGAGAGGGTAGCAGACATCAGAGTCCCACCTGAGGGCTATGTAACAGTCTTCACCCTCATCTCATAAAACAAACAAAGAAAAACATACTTTGCTACTGAAATAAAAAAACTATTTGACCTAGATCCTCTGTTTCCTGGAATCTTATGGTTCCCCAAAGGCTCTCCGTGGCCCTACTCTGGCTGTAAAACGCTAAGCAGTCTGTGACAACAGACTCTTCTCTTGCAACTGCCAACACAGTTGGAAACAGACTACCTCCTAGCAAAGACAGAAGTAGCTGGTGACAAGCAAAAAGAAAAAACTGCTTTTTAATAATTATTATTTTTAATCATTCAAGTGAGCTGAAAAAAAAGGCTGCAATTGCAGCTAGCAGCAACTGAGACCTGGAACAAAACCCACTTGAAGGTACTACTATAGAAATTTGTCTAAAGATGCACTATCCATTTATGCTTCAGATCCCCTCTGCGTACGGGGAGGGGCCCGACCCGCTCCGCGGAGGCGGCTAGG